CTGCCTCGATTCAGCCTCGCCAGCTGAGAGCACAGAATAGTCCACACGTGGGAGATGGGATCCTCTTGGAGCTCAGAGTCTGAGACCATCTTGCTCCGGGTTTGTGTGGCTTCACAGTGGCTGAATCTGATCTCAGTACCTTAATTCTTACTCACCTACAACCTTAGGAAGTCACGGCCCCTTGCACCTACGCGCACTCTGGGCCAGACTGCACTGGGCTGCAGGAGGCTTTGTGCCGGCTCTGCTGTTCACCTTTCCTCTTCTGCTCTAGGCGCAGGTGCAGTGGTTCTGAGCAAACCCAGGCGCCCCAGGGCCCGACCCCTTCATTCCTTAGGTGTCATTTCAGAGACCTCCATGCTTGTGTTCCTCCGTGTGTGAGTGCCTGGGTTCGTAAAATCAAAAACGCCAGGCGCTTCCAGGCAGAGCGTGTGAGATCTGTGGCTGGGGGGTTAGGGGCCAGTGTCTCTGCTACGAGGGGACCCAAAGCCCCCAGACAGCATGGGGCTGGTCCTCTCAAGCCCCCGGGCACCCTTTGAGGCTGGGTCTGGGCCCCGGCATGGGTGAAGGGCAGCTGGCCCAGGCCCCCTGAGGTCCTTTTGGTCTCCAGGGGAGTCTGTTTTCACAGTGAATGGCCAGATTGGGCTGTAGGTATGGGGGACAGGTAGCCTAGAGGAGGCCGAACCTGAGACCAGGCCTCTGTGCACCAGGCTCTAGGTGCTTCCTGGCACCTGGTGAGAGCTGGATTCTGGAAGCAGCTGGTGGGGAGTGTGCAGCCTGCTATGGTCAGTCAAGAACAGGACTGTGGGGGGTGCGCACAAGGACACCTGTTCCAGGCAGCTCGGGCTGCTGTAACAAAGGACCGCGGACCGGGTGGCTTGTAAACAGTGGGAATGTATCCCCCGCAGTTCCGGAGGCTGGATGTCTGAGAAGAGGGCGCCAGGGGGCTGGGTTCTGGTGAGAGCCCCTGGCGGGTTGCAGCCGGCTGCCTCCTGGCTGTCCTTGCATGGGGAGGGGCGAGGACTTGGTTTAACTGTACTTACCTCCTGACCTTCTGATCTCCAAAGGCAGTCACATGAAGGGTTAGGGCTTCAACCTAGGGAAGGGGGGGGGGGCACAGTTCAGTCCACAGCACATGTCTGTAGGGGCTCACACAGTTCACCGAGGTCAGCCTCTGGCACATGCCCCACTGAGGTCCTTAGGCCTCAGGCTACCCTGTGAAAATCATTCTGCCCCTTTAATCAAGGTTCAGCAAACTTTCTGTGAATGTTTGCAGGTGCGCGGGCCACGTGGTCTCCATGGGACCACTCTGCTCAGCTGTAGCAGCACCAACACAGTGGTGGATGTGGCCGTGCCAATAAAACTTTATTTACAGACGGGTCATGGGCCACATTTGGCCCGCTTTCTGTCATTTGCTTATCCTCCACTTTTAAATGACATACCTGCCCAATAAAGAGATTTAGGAAAGTCAACGCACACAAATGACTTGGCCCCACAGTTGAAAGAGCCATGGTTGGTGTCTGATTAAAGAGCTTGGCTTCTTCTAAAGATTTTTGTTCATGACGGGGGCCTTGTACTTGTGAGCATGCATGTTGTATTTCTTGAGATCACAGATCCGTCCCAAGAACGTTTCTGTCATTTACATGGTGCCCCGGACCAAGTAGCAGCGGCGCTGGGCGCCGTCGTGCGGATCTGCCCACGGCCATCGAACAGCGTGCTTACGGTTCCTCCTGTGTGCACGTGCGGTGTTGTCGGTACCGAAGGGGAGGCCGGCTCTGCCTGGGCTCCTCACTTCCTTGGGGGAGGTCCCTGGGAGGCGCGGCGCGGGGACCCGCTTGCCTCAAGTGACAGGAATGGCCAGTGGCTGCGCCTCATCCAGGGTTTGCCAGAGCCGCACACCTCCCGCTCCCCCCTGGGGCTGGCAGCCGGTTCTGGCGGCTGGAGGCTGTGTGCCCTGGCCGTGGTGCAGGGGGCCCCTCAGACCTCCTCCCCCACATTTGTGCCCCATTCTCATCAGAAACTTAGGACGCGGCCAGCTCCCTTTGAGAGCACACACTCTCTGGCGGGTGCTGACGGGGGCGGGGCGTGGGCTGCTAACTTGGGGAGCTGGTAGGAGAGCAGCGGAAACTATCAGCTTGAGTGACTCCAGCAGATTCTTGAAAATGCCTGTCTCTGGTTTGGGAGTGGGCCGGGGGGGTGGGAGAGGGAGAATGAAAACAGATAGAGCGATTTGCCCAGGCCGTCCTGAAGAGCCTGCCTTGAACTCCCCCGCTCCCTGCCCCCACTCTGAGCCTTCTTCCCGAGCAGCCCCTGCAGCTTGGAGCCTCTGTGCTTGCCCTGGCTGGCCCGGCCAGCTGCAGTGAACCAGCAACCTGTGATGGCCCCAGTCACAAGGTAGCTGGTGCTGAGGGCTGTTGGGGGTCTGGCGTGCTTGGCCCCAGGAAGAGAAGCTGGGTCTTCTTTGTTGGCCTTAGCAACCTTGCCTCTCTAACTGGTGGGCCAACGGGAGCCCGTGGGTCCATGGTGCCTGCCCCCCCACCCCTGCCCCGAGCTCAGCTGCCCTGCCGAGGAGGCGATGGGGCTGTGTCCTAAATCCCAGCAGCTGTCGCTCCCCCTCTCCGGACCCAGTGCTTGCTCCCTGGGTGCCCGTGAGGCTCCAGAATCCTCCCCCACGGGCCATAAGCCCCACTGTAGCCAGAACCAGCGCAGAGGGAGTGTGGCTTCAGCCGGGCAGCGGGGCACGGGCCAGGCTCCAGGCCACCTGGCATTGCTCCTCGGATCACATCTACGTGTCCCCCCACCGGGGTGCACACAGGTGCCTTTTTTTAATTACTTAAGGAAAAGCAATTGCAAAGCTATTCCATACAAATCCCTTAAGCCGCTGTCGATGGGGGCTCTGGGGAGGCCGCGGCCCGGGCCAGGAATCTGAAACACGGGCACCATCTGTGCTCCCGCCACTCAGAAGCCAAATTACACTGCCAGCCTTTCTCTTCTGCACAATTTTTCATTAAATGAATTGCTTTTGCTGGGAATCGCTTGTCCATAAATATTCCCTCTTGCTCGTCGTGGTCAGGTTATTGCCGTCCCCTAGTCCAAGCTCCTGGATCCAGTCCTGGGGGGTGGGAGGGAGTGGGGGTGGGAGCTGGGGCTGCAGAAAATTCCTCAGGACACTTCCTGAAGCCCCTCCCGCAGCCCTGCCACACCCACCTAGATGGGGGTCCTCAGTGATGGGGCAAGCATGGAAGGGCTTGTCAGGGCAGGGGGCATGGTTGCTGGATCCAGTTACATCCTTTCTTTCTTGCCATTTCCATTGAGAAAGTGACAGTGACAGCGACACGGTTGTGAAGGAGGGCGAGATGTGTGTTTAAAATGGAAACATGTTTTAAGCTATGGTTTTGGAAACAGGCCTCTCCTAAGCCTGTTTATTTGACAGGGAGGCAGAAAGAGGGGCCGAGAACGTTCTGAGCAGGCAGGCATTCAGAGTTGGAGCTGTAGGGGCTGCAGTGCGGGTGTCCCCGGGCGCGTCCCTGAAGGGTGGCTACCCTGAGGCTTCTGGTCAGTGCTCGCAGGACAGGCCTTCCTGGGTATATGTGTCCCCCCATAAGGAGGCAAGGACTGTGTCCGGTTTAGGCAGGAGGGGCACCCGTGGGTCAAGACCACTTCCTTGTGTCCCCTAGGCCACCTGCTTCCAGGGCTTGCGTTACTCTCCAGAGTCTAGACCAGTCTGCAAACCAGGCCGTGGGCCGAATCCGGCCCTTCGCTTGTTTTTGTAAATAAAGTTTTATTGGTATACGTATTCATTTATGTATTACCTATGATATTTCTGAGCCACGGCAGCAGAGTTGGGAGGTTGTGACTGGGCCACTGCCTGGCCCTTTATGGACAGTTTGCCAGCCCTGCCCTAGACCAGTGGCTCCTTAGTTTCTCTCCCTTTTTGCAGTAGGTTGATTTTCCAGTCCCATCTTGGTCTCATCCCACAGGTAAGTCGGAGACCAGGGCTGCCTGAGTTCTTCCTGCTGATGGAGGAAGGTCATTGGCTCACTGGCTGGAGCTCAGCTTCTGGAATCTTTAGCTGGCTTTTCTGACCCACGACTTCCCAAGGTGTTAAGTGTCCCCGGGACACCTGCATGCCTCCTGCATGGTGCCCGGCACTGGGGGCCACCACGATGCGATGACATGGAGGAGAGGCCCCAGGAACATGTGGCTTGTGGGAGTTGTTCAGGGCACAAGAGGGACGGGTCTAGACAGCAGAAGAGGGGACAAGAGGGACCCCATTTCAGCCTGTCCTCGCCATGCTTGTTTGCCCCATGCTCGAAGCTCCCAGACACAGAGGACCCTCTGCTCCAAGGCAGTATTGCTGCAGGCCCCCCTGGGACACTGTGCCCGCCCCCTGCCTCAGTGGGCCACTCTCAGTCTGAGCTCTGGCCGCCCTGGGGCAGCCGCTGAGTCTCCGAGTCCTGGCTTCCTCTCCCCAAACCCGCGAGGCAGAGACCAGGAGCAGGCACGTATGCGCCCTTGGGTGCCCTGCACCTTCTTAAAATCACTTGTTTCCTTTTTTGCTCTCAGCCTTTTGGGACTGACCGCTTTCTCCTCTTCCTAACCTTCGAAATGACTGCTGTTGGGAAGCATTCCACATGCATTTTGCGGGGGGCGTGTGTCCGACAGCTGGCAGGTTTTGGTTAGAGCCGACACGTGGGCAGCTGGAGGTTGGACCCTCGTGACCTGGGGCTACTGAGCTGCGTCTGTCTGCCTGCTGACCCCCGGGTCCCCCACAAAGGGCCTGCTGTCATTTCCCTGGGCCTCATGCTGGGCGGGGGCTGTGACCCCACAGGAGTGGGCCAGAGGCTGCCACTTGAGGGCACGGCTTCCACTTGGGACGGAAAGGCGCCATTTCCTATCCGGAGGTAGAGGTTCTAGAAAGGAGAGAGGCCGGGGTGGGACTCACCCTGCCCCTGTTCGGCTCGCAAGCCACGGGCTCAGCAGATGTCCCCTGCCCCCCGCAGTGCACGTGCCGGAAGGACATGGTCAAGATCTCCATGGACGTGTTCGTGCGCATCCTGCAGCCAGAGCGGTATGAGCTGTGGAAGCAAGGCAAGGACCTGACGGTGCTCGACCATACCCGGCCCACGGCCCTGAGCAGCCCAGAGCTGAGCACCTGGAGCGCCTCCCGGGCCTCACTCAAGGCCAAGCTCCTACGCAGGTGAGTCACCCAGGAGCCTGAGCCACTGCGCCCTGCCAGGTTCTGGTGGTGACAGTAAGTGACTGCTGCCCCAGCCACTCCCACTCTCCACCTGGCTGGTGGCTGCAAGCTGTCCCCCACCTCCCTTCCGCCTCCTCCTCCCCCTCCTCGCCTCCCCTCCTCCTCCCCCTCCTCGCCTCCCCTCCTCCTCCCCCTCCTCGCCTCCCCTCCTCCTCCCCCTCCTCGCCTCCCCTCCCTTTCTCCTCTCCCTTTCCTTCCTTGCTCTCTTCCTCTCTTCCCTGTCCTGTCTCTTCTGCAAATGTGTTTCTCAGGCCTCGACTTCCCCAAACATGGTCAGTGGGCGTGGGGGCAGGTGGTGTCTGTGTTGTCAGGGACTCAGGTTCCCTCCTACTTCTCGTTCACCAGCTCCTGGGAGGCCAGTCCTTTGGCCCTTGGGCCACACGGTTTCCTCTCTGAGAGGACACAGGCTGTCCCCGTCATTCTTGTGACAGTCCTGGACACGGGAGCCCTGTTTCTGCGTGGCAGGGCTGCTCGGGTCCCTTCTTGGCTCCGAGCGATGGTAGGTCTCGTGCTGGAGCCTGTGTGACTGCCGCGCCCCTGCCCTTTTGCGTCTGTGGATGCTCATTTGACACTTCCAAAATCTTGCTGTTGGATTCGCGATTATGGCCGTGATGCAGAATCCTGTCCCCCCACGGACGTCCTTTACACCCCCATCCTGGCTCGGAGGACCCCTCTCTACAGTCTGGACCCCTCCAGGCCAGCATGGTGACCGCCGGGCCACATGCCTGGCATTGGGTGGGGGAGAAGGCAAAGCGACAGCACCCTCTTGGCATGTCACCGAGACTGTGGGGACGTGAGGGGTGGGTCTGGGCTGAGGAGGAGTCAGCTTGGGGCCAGGAATGAGAGACAGCCGGCAGCAGTGCCCGATGGCGCCCCGCTACCCAGGATATCGGTCCATTGGCTTTTTGTGGGAATGCCCAGGATCTCCGGGTCTGAGTGCTCACGGACAGTGTTCCGCCGGATTCCTTCCTGGTGCCCAAAGAACATTCAGCACATCCTTGCTGGGCCCCCAGCCTTGAGCTGGAACTGTGCGGTGCGGGACCTGACGGGCTCATAGCCGCTCGACAGCATGAAAGCCGCTGTAGATGGTAGACGTTCCGTAAACCAGTGCGCGTGTCGTGTCCCGGTAGAACTTCATTGACGGACGCTGAGATTGGAATTTCATATCATTTTCCCCTGCTGCCAAGTAGGACCACTCTTGTCACCTTGTGAACCATTCAAAAGCGTCATCACCGTCCTTAGCTTGTAGGTGCTGCCAAATAAGGCAGCAGGTGGATCTGTGCTTCGGGGAGAGCTTTTCCACTTGCAGCCGCTCCGTTCCAGCCTCATCTTGTCCCCACTGGCCGTGGATGGCGTCTCGGGAGGCTGGGACAGAGCCCTCCTTTGGGGAGCCGGGGAGCCCCGTTGGTGGCACTCCTGCACCCTATGGGGACAGACACCCTTAGACCTGTTTCTGGGGAAAATCCATCCTGGCTGAGGGGCTGTGCCGGCCCAGGGCCTGCCCCCGACTGGGCTGTTCTTGCTGCCCCGTGTCTGTCTGTGAATCTGCGAATCTTGGGCCGTGTCAGCCTCACTGCATGGTTTCCCCACCCTGGGGCCCCTCTCTCTGAGAATGTTCCGGCAGCTCCGGAATGCTTTCACAGTTGCTCCTGACAGCCTTCGTGAAGGTGAGTCTCTTTTTTTCTCTGCTTTCTTTTGTTGTCTGTCCTTTTGATTTCTGGCTCTCCCTATGTTCCTTGTGGGGAGCAACTTCTGGGTGAGGCCAGCTTGCAACAAAGCGAGGAGTGAGCTGGTGGAAGGCTAGCTCCCAGGCCAGACGTGCATTTGCATAATGGTTAATTGATTGTGGCTCAGCCTAATTGGTCAACAGAGTGGATTGCCAATAAACAGGCATCACATCCCAGAAATGGAGTGGCATTAGAGGCAGTCTGAAGAGCCTGCCCAGAGGACAAGGGACCCCAGCCGGCCGGCCCAGAACCTTCTGTGCCAGAGGAAGCACCCTCCACCCCCTCTGCCTGGGCCACCTCCTCACTGTCCCAGCACCCTTGTCATACACTCTTGCTTTCTGGAGTCTTCTGTGTTCCATCTCTCCCTCCCTTGCTGCCGACCAGGGGAGCTGTAGTAACCAGCCAGGGGGACTGGAGTACAAATCAGGCTTGTTCCCAAGGATGGCATTTTCTTTAAAGCCTTTAGTATGTAAAATATGGCTGATTGCCTTCTTTTTCTTTAAAGTCAGGGGTTGGGGGGCCTTTCTCGGAAAAAGCGGGCTGAGGACTCAAGGCCAAGCTGGATGCCCCTGCCCCTTGGCCTGAGCTCAGTGATTGTCACGGACGGAGTCCCATGTGACTCTCTCCTGGTCATGTGGTGCTCTGCCCTGACCAGCTGTGCCAGCTCCCCTGAGCCTCAGAGGGTTTGATTTGGGGGAGGGATGTCTCCCCCTGAGCATCCTTGGCTTGGGCCAGAGGGTGAGGGTGATGCTGGCTCTGTCCCCAGACCAGGTCTCTGTCCTTAGCACTGGGGACTCTGGGGCCAGATCACTCTCTGGGAGGGCACATTCTGGGCACTGTGGGAGGTTAAGGAGTCACCCCGGCCCCCACCCACTCAGTGCCAGGAGCACCCCCAGTTGTGACGACCACAGATGTCCCCAGACACCGGGTGAAATCCCTGAGCAAGGGCATGGCATTGGGGCGGGCTCCTCACCTGCCCACTGTTCCCCTCCATTCTTTGAGTCCTCCTGTGGCCCCCTTCTCCTTCTCTGGGACCTGCAGCTTCTCCTCGGTCCTTGCTCAGACCAGCTTAGCCAGGTCCCTGCCCCTCAAAGGTTCAGCCTTCTGACAGCGTGCCCCCACCGAACATCGTCTCAGAGCAGAAGCCAGGTGTTGGCCTCTCCGGGAGAAATGATCTGCACCCTACTTGTGGCTCCCCGAGGATCCACACGTGTGAATTGGTCGTGTGAATTGACCCTGCCCCGTGACAAACGCCACAAAGCAGTGACCTTCCCGCCTCTTGACGCGCGGCTCCTTGGGCTCGCATCTCCATGCTCTTCCTCCTCCTGTTCTGAACGAACAGCCCTTTTCCGGGTGCACACTGTCTTTTCCTCTTGGCTCCTTGTCACTTCTGACGAAGTCTTTGAGAAACGCCCCCCATCGACCGCACGTTCCGGCAGGTGCGTGATCCACTGGCCACACGCCAGCCTTGCACGACATCCGTGCCGGCCCTGCTCAGCCGTCTGCTGACAAGAAGATGGAGAGGGGCGCGCTCCCTCGCGGGGACCCATGGGTCTTATCCCGCCACAGCTGCTGCCTGCTCTTGCTGACCTTGACCCCTACCTGTCCACCTGGGCCACTCTCCACCCACCACCCTCATGTCACAATGGAAACAGGGAGCCCAGGTCCAGCCTCCCACCCCTCTGATGCTTGCTGACCCACGGGCGGCCTGTCTCTTCTCTCCTCCCTGTGCCTGACACCCTGAGCCAGGCTGGAGGTTACCACATCTCTGAGCCCATTCCCACCAGCGCCCCCCGCCCCAACCCTGGCCCTGCCCTGCTCCTGAGCCCCTTCCCACAGACACACCTCCTGGCCTCTCAGGAGCAAGCCCTGTGACCCTGGGGCCTGCCAGCTCCATGGCCCCAAGGAGCTTGTTGCCCTGATGGCCCCCTGAATGTTACCTCGATTTTTCTCCCCCGGAGCATGGAAGGTGAAATCCTTTCCTTGCCGCTCGCCTGCCTGTCTCTGGGGGCAGGCAGTGCTGGGGGGTGAATGAGGAGTGCGTGTCTTGCAGCTGGTGGGGCAGTGTTGGGGGGGTGGTGTGTGGAGAAGGGTCTTGGGCACAGGGCACCTGGCCCCCTGCTCCTGGATGCTGTGGCCATGCTGGCCCCAGGGGCCTTGGCAGTCCCGGATGCTCCCTGCGGAAGCAGAGGCCCTGGGCAGCGGCCAGTCCTGTCAGAGCTGGCTCCTTGGGTGCTTTGGGCCCTCTGTTGACCAGGCCAGGAGCCATTTGGAGCCTGCTGCCTGGGTGGGGGTCCAAGAGGAGCCCCCCACACTGCCTCTCCTCCTGTCTGAGGTCCAAGGACACCTGCTTCCACACTGAAAACATTAATGTCGGTATTTGGGCTTAGTCCCAGTCTTTGGTTCCCATGAACTTAGGGCAGTGACCCGCAGTCAAGCCTGGAGGGTAAAGTGCATGGTTTTTCTCCACCCACTCCTGAAACATCACTACGACAGCCACACAGGAGTGACCAAGAACAGCAGAGGGAAGGTCGCTGCTGAGCCGTGTCTGCAGACTTGGACAGGAAGGAAAGGGCGGGCAAGCGAGCCCCACCTTTGCAGCACAGAGGAAGCTCGGATCCGAGGCAGACAGGGAGGAGGCTGGCTTGTGCTGGGAACTCTGGAAAGGCCTGGGATTGAGAGACACGGGCGCTTCCTGGGCCAGGGACCGCAGTGGGCTGGAGGCCAAGTGTGAGGTGCTTCAGGGCTCAGGGCCCCCACCCCCCCATCTCCAGCAGAAGATGGGGTGTGAGCGTCTCCAACCAGAGAAGAACGGGGCCCACGGAGGAGATGGTGCGGTGAGCCGCCAGACACCTGGCCACTCGGGGGTCACTGAGGGGTGCACCTGCCGGTGAGGAGGAGCCTGCGCAGCTCAGGGAGAGCTGGCTCCAGGTGGACAGACAGGTGGGCTGGGAGTCGGCTTGAGGTGTCTCCCAGGGCCGAGAAGTCGAGGAAGTCGAGCAGAGGACAGGGAGATCATGCCACAGAGGCTTCCTGAGCAGCTGGGGCCTCTGCGAGGTGTTTTGGAAAGAGAGGAAAGAACATTGCCTGGGACCCAAACACTGCATTTCCAGATTAAAAAGTTTGGCCCAGAGGATGAAAATGATCCATACAATGTACACGTCACTAGGCAGTTTCACAGCTCTTGGGTTAAACAGAAGGTCCGAAAAGCTTCTGAAAGGAACAGCTAGGTCCAGATAAAGAGCAAGAGATCCTAAAGGCATCGGACATATGCTACAAGCTAACGTGCAAAGGAAGAGGCCTTCAAAAATCAGAAGAGAAATAATTTTCAACCCAAGAGGATGTACCTAGCCAAATTCCAAACTAAATGTGCAAGGGGGTAAAGATCATTCTAGACACAGAAAGCCTCAGATTTCCCTTCTTTCTGAGGAAGCTACTGGAAGATGTGCTCCAGCCAAACAAGGGTGTCAACCACGAAAGACGTCAGATTGAGTGACCCGGATCCCACGCAGGAGCCTCCTAGGCAGTCTCAAGGGGGCAGGTCCCTTGGTGTCCTCGAGGAGCATGGGACGCCCTGCGTCAGAGGCCACCCACAAGCTTGGAGATCACCAGGAAAGCTAAGCATCTAAGACGGGCCAGTTCCCAACTCCAGGAGGAGCGAGTGACCAGTTGCGTCGCTCACGGATGAATGACACCTACAGAGGCAGGAGAAGGGAAATCTGAACGTCACCACATTGACCGCGGTGGCAGACGCGGGGAGCAAGGCGGGGCCTGGAGGTGGCAGGAGGCCAGGCCACAGCCTTCGTGCTTGTGGTGGGGCAGAGACACGTAGAAGCAAATACGAGTGGGGGAGGCAGCTCATCTGGCGCGCTGGCCCGGGGGGTGCCGCTGTGGCCAGACTGCATGACCCGAAGTGCATGGTGGACGCCTCTTCCTGCCACTCCGACAGACTGGCTACACATTCTTCCGGTGTACGTTTTCACAAGACGGGTATTTTCGTTGCATGCTGACATTCAGCTTGCTTTTCCCACCCTGCAGGGGCGGCGGGGGGTGGGGGGTGGCCTTCCACCTACATCTGTCAGTCTGGCTCCGCCCCGTTCTGGGGGTCTCTGCATTAGCAAGGCCTGGTGGGGCTTGGGGTCTGGTACTGTGGCTGGGGCTGCCCAGAGCTCTGAGCCCCGTGGTGCTCTGGGGGCCGGGGAAGGTCTAGGCTGCCTGGGACCGACAGGACCGCCCCGGTCGGTCCTGTGAGCGGCGGGCAGCATCTGAGGTGGCCTCCCAGTTCCCGGGCCAGGGGACGGGTGGGGCAGGGGGGCTGCAGGAAACCACGGCCAGGTGAGTTGGCAGTAGGAGGACGCCCTTCTGGTGGCTGCTGCCTGGGGCCGGCGCGGGTGTTCGCCCGTGCGCGCCCTGTCTTGCGGCATCCCCAGACCTGGAGAGAAGCCCCTCCTCGGGTGACAGCTGGTGACGCAAGCCGGCTGCGCCCTGCTGCTGTCCTGGAGCTTGCTGCCAGGTGGGGCCGCATTCCCCAAAGTGGCTCCACGACGTGGAGGGCCTCCCCCCCCCCGGCTCCATGGTGGTAGAATGCGTTCTCCCCCCCCCCATCCTCTGGCTCCCGTGCCCCCTCCTGCCTGGCTCCTTACCTGCGCGTTCTCCTGCCCCCCCCCACCCCGCACCCCCCGCAGTGCACGCCATGATGTGTGTGACGCCATGCCTCTGCCCATGACACTCCCTCCCCCGGAATGCTCCCTGCTTTCCGCCTTTGGTCATTGGAGTGACTCATGTGCAAGCATCACCCGGGGCTTGCCAGCCTGGCCTTGCCCGGGCTCAGGGGAGATGAGCAGTGGCAAGCCAGGGGCCCTCAAGCGAGGCAGCTGAGCAGTGAGAAGGACCGGCAGCAGTTAGCGTTAGGGGACAGTTAGGAGAGGCCCCCCCCAGGAGCCGGCAGCGGCAGGCATGGGGAAGGTGGTGAGGCAGCTCTCAGGTCCCTGCGTCCTGGGACAGCAGGGCTGTCGTGGGCACCCCTGGGTGGGAAACGGGGGTCCTGGCATTGGGAGTCCTCAAGGCCTCCCCGGGTCCCCCACCCAGCCCCAGGTACAAGGCCCTGCTTTGCTTGGTGACCTCTTGGTCCTTGGAGGTGCGGCTGCCATGGGGAGCCCCATGGGGTCTCCGTGTCCAAACTGACCTCACTGGGGCCGCACAAAGAGCCCCTGGAGGGAGGGAAGCCATAGCCAGCGGCTCTCTTGGCATTGCTGACCCTCAGGGAGAAGAAAGGCTAGTGGATTTTGAGGCTTGAGCCTGAGGCCCCACAGGGGTGTCACTCCAACCCTGGAGGGTGCCGGTGACTTGTCCAAAGCAGGCTTCTCCACATCCCAGCCTCTGTCCCCTCCTTGGAAAGTTCCCAGGGCTGGGCAGGGAGGCCCAGGCCGCTGATCTACAGTCCCATCCAGCCTGGTTGTATTCCTTCCTTCCTTTTTAACCGATTCTCTCTGCTTTGCCCTGAGAAGCCATCGCTGAGCCTCAGGTGACTTCTCACTTGGGGCGGAAGGCCGAGGGCCACCCCCAGATGGTCGCAGCCCTGAGCGAGGCTGGGCCCTGCCCCAGCCACCGGCGAGTAAGGGACACGGAGCACGGGTTCGGGCAGGTGCCCAAGGCCAGGCCCTTAGACAAGGCGTCCGGGGAGTCAGCAGAAGTGCTAGAGAAAAACTCCCTGACGTTTACATTCTAGACAAATTAGTCTGAAAGAAAACAGACACTGGAGAAAGACTGAGGAGGACAGAAAGGCCAGTCTAGAAAGGAAGAAAGAGCAGACCAGGAGGCCGGGGCCGCCGTAAGTCCACCTTGTCCCTGTACGCAGGCATCTCCACCTGCCCCCCCCGCCTCCG